TGCAAAATTTTGAGACGAGCCGGAGACATGTTGTAATACCGTTGTTTTATCGGCTTGGCAGTGCCAGTATCAATTTCGTGTTCGACTAAATTGGTGCGACCCAATGTAGAAGTTTCCTTGCCTAAACAAGTCTTCAGTAAATTTTCCAATCGTTGTTGTTGGTCTTGGTCCAGGTGTTCCGCAGCACAAATACCAGAAGTTCCGCTAAGTTCATAAATAGAATCAACATTAACACCAAACTCCCATGTTCTTTGAGACATATCTGTAATAATTTGCATACTAGTCCAGAAGTCAATACCCAAGATGAGTGTTTGCGGCAGAGTTGGAACCACCATGACAGTAATGAGCCGAGTGCGGTCCTCTAAAGTAACAGGTAACTGGATAGTTCCTTTAACCATGTGCCGTTTAGCGTCCGCAGTTTCTACAAAACGACCAGGTGTAGGACTAAGATGTTGTTCCAACTCTTTAAGAACAAATAAGCCTTGGTGGCCTAATACGGTTTGGGAGGCTCCAGAATCCAACAAACCTTTGATAACAACTCCATTAATATTTACAGTAACATAAGGCCTAGGGTCAAAATCACAAGAATCCAACACATACATAATTTTTCCACAAGACACATTACTATTAAAATTACTAAATATATCACAGTCAGAGCTTAAATTTGGTTTCCAGGTACAAGGGACATTAGTAGATTCAATGGTAAAGGTGGGTCTATTAACAAGGTCTGAATTCCTACTTTGACAGTTCTTTAAGGGGTCCACCAAAATTTCAGTAGCGGGCCCCGAGCTTATACGTTTTTTGGTCGGCACTTATTACAATTTACTTTACTGACTCCATGTGTTCCACAGGTGTAGCAAAACTTCTTGCGCGGGAGATTGCAGTTAGTGAACCTATGCCCTGTCTTTTGACAATTCCAACACAACATAGTTGAATCATCCAACCTTTGTGGTCTTTGACTATTTAACTCACTGCGGTTGTTGTTAGGTCTGTTCCGGTTACTGTCTGAAATGGTAGAGATCCTTCCGGGGTTGGAAAAAGGTTTTCGAACACCATTGGACCTGTATGGTGGAACTGAATATGCTAAATCTGGTTCTAAAACTTGACTTGATTTTGGAGGAGGTCGCTGCCTCATAGCCCTCATACGTCCTGCTTCTGCCTGACGACCAAAATAACGCAGATCTTCCATTGAAGTTATCTTGACTAGACATAATTTGCTCTGTAAGAAACCGTTGAGATTTTTCAAAACTTGTTTTAGTTTCTCTTTTTCGGTTACGCCTTCATTAAGTCGACTGTATAGACCTTCCATGGCTGCCAAGTATAGATCGATAGCTTCTTCTTCTCCCTGTGTCCTTTCTTTAATTTCTTGCAGTAGCCAATCATCGTAATCCGGATTCTGGAATACAGATTTTAATTCCTTGCACAATTCTTTCCATGAAGAAACACGTTGATGGGCTGAACGGTACCATATAAGTGCTTGTCCTGCGAATAAGTCCACCGCAGATTCAAAAAGTTCTTGTTCGGAAACTCCCCTTGCTCTTCTCAGCTCTTCGACTCGTACTAAGAATGCTCCGATGCTCACAGCTCCGTCATTATTAAATTTCAGATTCCACTTGTAGACTGGTACAGACTTGGGACCATATCCTTGATGTTTGGATGGTGTTTCTTTAATCGCCCTCGAGGGATTCAAGGTGATTTCCTGCATCTGATCATGCAAGGTATGAAGGTCATCAACAAGTGGGGTTTGTTTGCTTATCTCTGAGAAACTTACATCCGTAGACCTAACTGGTGTAGAAATCTCTTGAATATTATTGCCTAGTCCATGGTTGGTTTCAGGAGGATTAACTCTCTTTAAAGGATCTTCTTTCTTCTCACACCCAGTGACTTGGAAAAGATCAATAAATTCTTTAGTTTTATCCAATAGTTCTTGCTGTCGTTGCGTGGGACTGAGGTCTGAAGAAGGCGCAATCGGGATCCTCTCAACTCTATAAAACAAATGCCAAAGACGGGCAGTCAGTCTCAATGCCTCGCTATCTTTATAGTCACCATCATAGGCTTCAATCAAGAAAGCCAGGTCCGAAAGTTTCTCTTCACATGTTTCCAGTTCTTTCAGTTCATCTAGTCCATTGACTACAGCATTATCTATTGCAGTTTTGTTGGAAAAACACTGAGTCAAGCGTTTCCGCAAATCATTAGTATCTCCAGCCGTAGATACTCCTCTAATCGATAATTCATAAACAATTTCATCTTTTCTAAGTCTGTAGGAATTCATGTTTATGGAGTTAACACACAAAAAATCTTAATAAACAATATCACAATAGGCTATCCACAAAATGAGTACAGAGACCACCAATATTTGGGATAAGTAGGCCTATCTTCCTTTCTAATAATCCAGCCGAAGAAGAGTTTCAACAAACGATACTGTAATTACTTTCCGGCCCCACGTTACGGGCGCCATTTGTAACCTTTTTTTTTTTTTTAATAATTTTTATATTTAAGGTTAATTGAACTAAGCCCAGGTTAACTCAGAGAAGGGGGGGGTTTGGTACTCAAAACTTTTAAAGAGTCACAATGACATAAGGGATCCTCTTCGGGAAGGCGCCACCTTGTTTACTGCAGAACGTCCACCGGCCAACAAGGAAGTCCAATGGCAGTACAGGGTTGAGATTAAAAGGTTTACCCTCGAGGACCACTTAACTTATCATTCAGACCCACTTACTCATTTACTTAGGCCTAGACAATTTAATGTGTTAATATGGCTAATAGTAATTGCATGAGCGTGAGGAGCAAGATTAATTTGTAAGGAAGCGTCTAAAGTTGTTTTTAAACACAGTAGGAAATATTAATATAGTGAAAACACAACAATTAAATTTAAGTTACAATAGTTTAATAAGAAAAGTGAAATTTAAGAGGATTACACATCTGCAGATCTTAAAACAAAATTTAATGATTGTCAAACCTATTATAACAGTATGATAGGAAACAATAACTCAACGCTCAACAATGATGATTTAAAAAAACTTAATATTGGTGGCCACCTTAACTTGAGTCGAATAACTCTAAAATATAAATTAGGTAACTTACGGTTTCATAAAAAAATAAAACATGAATTCAACTAGAGACCTAGGCCTAACATGTCTACGCATAAATTAAAACAAATATCACAATTAAACAGAAAGAAAAGAAATACAAGTTAAAATATCAGTTATCAGGGGATCAAATTGTCCGAAGAAAGAGAAATACAGAATAATGATTTATGATAGGTAACTTATTGATTGTCTACTTAGCGGTAAGGCGTATCAGGTCCTTCACAAAACTGTAAATGACGAGACGAACAGAATTCCATTTTGGTTTGACTAGTAGGCTTAGTAGGTAGGCCTAGTCATCGGACGGTGAGCATGTCTCATCCAGCAGGTACGGACATCTCCCGAGCCAGCATTCCCCGTACATATCCCTAGAAAAGGGCCTCATGAATAGTAACATTATTATAACACAACGGTATAGCAGTCTCACACACTGTCTTTGGTAAGTTAATATTTCACATCAGTCGATGACTGTCCATGTAACAATTATTAAATTCATTAACAGCTTTAAAATAACACAGCAAAAGTTCAGTCTTTTGAAATCACAAGCTATAAGGCACTAGAGTTTTGAACAATACTGTCTGTCTGAATGGCCTAAACTAACCTATCAAACTTGTTCTCAAGTCTTTGGTCCATAGTACATAATTATGCATAGCACCACACAATACATTACATACATTAAATAAGATTCGTTAACAAATTAAATCCTAACATTCGACAATATTATACTTACAACATGGACCCAGCTCGTATAACCTAGAAACTAAACATTTTACACATAGTCTATTTAAACACTTTGAACGATAACACAGAATAATCCATAGGCCCTACATTTTAACAATTTCAGTGACTTTGTAGGCTACTTTGCCAAATTTAAGACAACTGAACTTAGGCCTAGCACAAGTTAAAGTCAAAAGGTTCGTTAAGCATCTTTAGCCTAGGCTTTAAGGCAAAATTACAAAATAGGCTAGTAACAGAATCAAATCTCAGAGTGAACGGGAAAGCCGTACTATCAGAACACATTTAAAAACAGACGTTACCAAATTTAAGTATAGACTTTAATAACAAACAATATGAGAACAAATTTAATTTACTAACCTAAAGAGCTGGACCCAAAATGAGTCTGAATGACTGAGGTGGATTTTTGTAAGACAATGTGGGACATAGTATTAGCATACCCATCTCAAGAAAACCCTAAATAACAAAATGTTACAACATAATCCCCCAAAATATGTAATAAAAAGAAACCTTACCTCGAGGGTGATTTGATTTAAGTAAATTTAGTTGACACTTTAGTTGAAAACATCTTGAATTACAAAAAAATCAACTTCTCATTTTTTTTGTCTTCGTCACAAAATCATGGCTAGAGGAGAAGAGGGAGGAAGCGTCGGTTTCAGTCCACAAATCCATCGAGTTTCATTATTGAGTCCAACCACCAATCAGAGGTCTACAACTTTATCGATTGAGTGAAGATGGGATGTAGCAACCGTTGGAGCGAAGAGTATGAAGTGGTAGAGGCGTACTATATAAAATATTTTACAGTGACGAAATGAAATTCAGAATGCGGTCAGGCAGTCGATGCGCGCTTAAAGACTGAGATGAAATATTTAGCGGGTGATCAGTCCGCTAGTCTGTATGTAGGCGTTGCTGAATTTCAGAGCGTTACAATTCGGAGAAAAGAAAGAATACCAAAAAAAACCAAATTTGTTTACAAAGCCATTGAAACAGTTTATTTAAAACCTATGCTACAAAGTAAAGTATCATACATTCTGTAAAAATCTGTCTATTTAGGCCTACCTGTTTTTTAAATTTTTTATTCTATATTAAAGATTTCTAGTTCTATTTCTTATTCTCACATGTAGTTTTCACGATAAGTGTGTGGCTTTGTGGTTAATTAATCTGTGTTTGTTGTGACAGCCGAGGACCCCAGTTGTCCGTGGTACCCAACACGAGCAGCACGTCTCTAGGCACGATCACAGTCCCGGCCCGCAAACTGTTCCAGGAGGACACCAGTGACGACAACATGGTCACCATCACTGGCGAGGATGGAATGGTTTATCAGGTGACGCAGACATTTTGGAGATTTTAATACAGTAGATTTCCTTATGTTTGGCTCAGATTGTGGAAAGTTTGCACGGCCACTTGGGTTGAGTTATTTGCACCAATTTTTTCATTGGTGTGAAGTTGTAGCATGTTAATTTCGCTGTTCAGTATGTTATTATATTGCATTTTTCTTGTGAAAAGCAAATTCAAGAAAATCAAATCTTAAAATAAATTTACAACTTATCACGGTTACAGATCACCCTAAAGGGTTGTTGTAGGCCAGCGTCATTGTATCCATTGTCTAACTGTAAACTCTGTTGTGTAGGTTAGCAACTCTGAGCTGACTGCAGGCAACACTCTGCTGGTGTCTAGTGAGGACGGAGAACAGCAGTGTGTGTATGTCACTACAGGAGATGATGGGGGAGAAGGCACCATACTGACACTGGACTCTGCCTATGCCAACGCTGTGGCTCAACTGGGCTCTGAGCAGGTAAATCTTTCTTCATGAGTACAATATAATCTAACAATTGTTTTTGGATTTGGTTTGAGATTCGAAATTTGATGAGTTTGTATGGAAATTTCTGTATAGGGAAGAAGCTATTACTGTAGGTGGCATGGAAAGATCTAGAGCCAGGAACGATATCTATTTTTAACGGGACCATAAACAATTTTAATATTTTTATATACATGTATGGGTGTTTGTGAACACGATAGCTCAAGTAATTTTGGTCTAGGTAAGGCTAGGGGCTGGATTCACTTAAATGATTTTGTAAACCAGCAATATCGGGCCATGGGAACGGAGTGTCTTATCTATTGACTCAATGGGTCTCATTGTAACTGTTCCGTCGCAGGTTAACATCCTAAGCACGGAGGATGGAGACCAGTACTTCATCAAGGAGGACGACGTAGAGGGAGGAGAAGTGATGACACTGGAGGGAGATGAAGGACTGGTGGCTGGAGATGACCAGAGTGGACAAGTGGTCGCTCAACTGGTGGAGGCTGGTGAACCTGCACCTGGTGGTAAGTATCTAACACACAAGATAAATACTTGTATCTGGGGGGAGGGATGTGGGAAAGGCTACCAACAACACTAGACGCTAATGGTATTAAATTAATCCAAAAGTGAACAGTTGAAATCGCCCAACATCATAACAATCTCTTTGGGTACCAGCCTAGAGGCACGGTTAGTTTTGTTTCCATCCTGACTGACACAGGCAAACACTGATGAATATATGAAAAAAATACACAAGTACCATTAAATTAAAACTATTTGAACTGCTACTGTAATCACCTCCTTGGTTGTTGAGTCTTTGTATTTCCTTCTAACCTCTAAAACTTCTCATATATCTACAACTCATATTGTAAAAAAAGTCGGTTGGTTTCACTGGTTTTCAGTAAAAAAATGAAACCAAGAATTTATAAAAAATGTTTTGTGGTTTATCTTTTGTTGCGCAGTGATTGCGTTACTTGATTTCAAAGTCTTCATAATTGTGGGGAAAGTTCAAAATTTTGTTAAAATCTCAAGGCGTCAAACATGTCTTAGCAAAAAATTCAAAAATGATCTTGATGATAAAACTGTTGCAGATATTTAGAGTTTTTCTGCGATCACATTACGATAAATGCACACTAGTACCAAGTTTATGGATACCTAAACCTACTACTTCTCTATTGGCAACCATGCAAGACGTTTTAAAACATTTCGTAGTCATGTTTACTATTTGGTATTAAATAGTAACTAATTTTATTTTGTTCAATTATTACTGCATACAAAATCTGAATCATTTATTGTCCCTCAGTATTACATGCAATAGACAGTGTCATAAAAAAAAATCAAATTTAATTAAAATTATGACATACAATTCATAATATAAACTATTATAAATACATTTTCCCATCAGTTATAAGTATAAGTGAACGTTTTAGCTACTAAACTCTGTAACAACATAAACCTACAATATAACCAACACCAACATCACCAATAGCAACCTTACACAAGGAGGCTAGATCATAATTTAATTGAGTGGTAATTTCATCTATAAAAACCGAAAACTGATAAAAAAACAACCAACATCTTTATATTTAATACGCGACATGAAACTTTGTGAACAATAAGGCTTTTTTGTTTTAAGATTTAACCCCACATATTATATACCAAAATGTACGTCTAGGTGTGTAGATGTGCAAACTGGCTTTAGATTTTTGAAATATATTTTTTTAAGGGCGTGGGCTGCCCTCAAAGTTCCTTCCATAAGCATAACATTGTGATTGATTTGAATGTTATTATATTCTGAAACAGATGTCAATATAGCCTATAAGTTTAAAAAAATCCCAGCTGATTTGTTTGGTTTTGAAATGTAAACAGTTTGCATGTTTTTTTTTATAATTAGAAACCCGGCAAAGGAATGTTACCTATAGGACATGACGGGAGAAAAGTCTTACATTTTATTTTCGTTTAAACATGCCAAGGACCCGACGACAAAGAAATATTGCCGGTCGGACACGGTGAGTCAACATACGCAAGCAATGCAAAACGTAAGGACCCCAGACGAGGAGCTGGAACAGTTAGTGGCAACGTGTACTTACAAAATTACACTGACACATACGAGAATTCAGCTGCATTCACTTGGTGAGATGGCATTAAAATGTCAGAAATGTGGTGCGTTACATTTTGATGAAGAACAAAGAAGACGAGGCGAAGGATTTTCATCCTGCTGCCATAAAGGATAAGTGAATCTACCACCACACCGAGAAAGCTATTATATCCAGAGCCTACTTAATGGAGCAAATCATTTGAGCAGAAACTACAAAGAGAACATTAGATCATACAACTCTGCGCTCGCAATGGTCAGCACTCGAGCTAAAATTAAAGAACAAAACGTTGGGGGCTCTTATGTATAAGGTGCACGACACAATTAATCACTCAATTGGCACCTTTCAACCGTCAGAAGGGGAGCATCCCACATATGCCCAAATTTATATCTATGACGTCGAAACCGCTGTTCAAGAAAGAATGCTAGACAAAGCTAATGGCTCTTAAACAGCACTGAACTCATGCACATTTTGCCACAACATTTGGTTGATATTAATCCATACGCGCAATTTTTCAGCATGATGAGCTCTGTCCTGCAAAATACTCATACTGAACAGCAAAAAGAACTTAGAATGCATATAGCCAACGATCGAGCTCAAGACCAACGTCGATACAACGACGCAACTTCTAACGACGTTGCTATAATATCCTAATCTATATATAAAGCCAAAAGTACCCATGAACTTTTGAGAAAACTACAAGTCACACCCCCATAAACCATATACTTAAAATGTTCATATAAAGCCAAAAGTACCCATGAACTTTTGAGAAAACTACAAGTCACACCACCATAAACCATATACTTAAAATGTTCGTCATGACGAGAAACCTTGCGCAAAATTATCCATTATGTCATAAATTGCCCTTTAAGGTCGTAATTCCTTTCTAAAGGGAACTTGTATAATTAAATCTGTTGATTTCTTGCTTTAACTTGTTACTGATTTTCTTGCATTGGATACTAGGTTTAAATGTGCATGTTTTTGCAGGATCAAGACGAGTCGTGTTGCTTCTACCTGATGGAAACTTGATGATGACTGAAGTAGACGAGGAACAGTATGCAGCTCTGGATCTTGATAAATAAACACCCACCACAACATTGAATAGTTTGTCAACCAACGTTTAGCAATTATTTTTATATTTATTTTAGGCAGAGAAATATAGCCTATACACTGTTGTACATATTGGACAAACCATAGGATTAAACTTTGTATATACTTAAAATATTTCTTAACTATTTTTAACATAATAAAATTTGTACTACAAAAATTATTTATAAAACATTGCTTGCCATAAATTGACCATAACAGAAAATCTCTTAGGTTATTCCGTGACATTGGAAAATCTACTTGAAGTGCTTTATGGTAAAAGGTTCAATTATTTTCAAGACTTTACTTGCATTGTTGTAGAAGAACAAATGTTTTTAATTTGTCCTTAAGTTTAGAACGTTCATACTCATGATTGTACTGAGCAAAACTGATCTCATAAAACAAGAAAACCACTAGGTTCTCAAACTGTACATTCTTAAAGCAAAATTATAGTGTCTGTTTGTTTGTATTGGGTTGTGACTGACTTTAACTTTTGCTTAATTAGGTGTTCATAAATATTTAAAATATCTACAATTGTTTTAAAAGGCTGCCACTTTTATCACAAATCCGGACACTTGTAAACAAACAAAATAACACTCAGATCTATTGCTTGACTTCTATCTAATCCATCACTCTCTTTCTGTTTTTATGATTGGTAAGTGATGCAAATGCAATTTAAATAATCTGTTAATATATATAATATTTATTAAAAACAACATACATTTTAAAATAGGTTTAATATGTCTAGTTTTTTCTTGTTTGTTAAATATTGTATTTTTCTTTATTTTGATTTTTAATTAGAATAATCAATTGTGTAGTTCAAATGTTGGTGTATATATTACTATTGTGTTGGAGGAGAAGAAAAAACACAAGACGTGGGATATGTTACAAAAGTGTTAGTGTGTCTGATAGATTTATTTTTAAATATATGTAGACTTATTATGTACATAAAATAAAATGTAAATACACATTTTGCAGGTTCATTTGAATAAAAGATTTAAAGTGAAGTTTGCCAGTTTTGTTATTGTTACCAATAGTGATTGTTTTTGACTATTTGGGCTATGTCAAGGTCACTGGTTCGAATCCGAGCGTGATCGTTTCTAGACCCAGATACCATTTGTCATTGGGCTATGAATTAACAATGCTATCCAACAAAAAGGTTGACGTCAACGTGTTACCCGTTGTCTAGCAGTTACCCGATTAGTACCAATTGGTAGTTGTCTAATAGTTTACCAATGGGTAAACAAGACTAGGGTTTTGACCGTTCCGTTTCAAAACATTAAAAAGCCATTGGGGTAGATAACCCAAAAAATAAAATGAAAATTTGTCTCAAGAAATATTGTATGATCTAGGTCCAACACAGATTTATATCCACGCAATACGCATCTTACTTATTTGAGCAAATATTATTTAATTACCAGATAGCAATACAACTGGTTATGCAGGTGAAGCCTCGAGAATTTTTTGAGACCACTAGCAGTATAAATTAGGGGACAAAAGAAGTAACAACTAAGCTGAAAAAGCACTGTATTCATATAATTTTTATTAAGTTTACAGTTAGTTACCTTTTAAACATTCTTGCCACCAAGATTGGTGGTACAAATTTATATAAGAATACATACCTTTGTCGCTCTGTCTGTCTTTCTTTAGTCTTGGTCTTATAAACAGTAGTCTGGGATTACAAGTTTTGGGTCATAAGGCCCATTCTTAATCATGGATGGACTACAGTAATTTGATGTTGGATTTGAGAATCTAGTAATCCCCAAACTAACTTATTACCGTATAAGACTGAAGACGGCTAAGGGTACAACTTATTATCAAAATTACGTTACCTGTTTTCTGTCAAAACAACTTGTTGTAGTATAGTATAATTAACTACTACAGCTTGTTTAATGCAGTCTAAAACGGAGCACATCACTCTAGCTAATTATCCCTCATGGTGGAGTTGGCCAGGAGATTTAATAACATGGACACTTAATACAATTTAATAAATGAAAAATTTACACATGTCACTTTCATACCGTACCTAAACTTCATACCTGTCATACATTATTTTAAAAACATGAATTTCTGTTTTGGATTATGATCTGACTATGATGAAAATGACACTACCCTGGGAGACGGGATAACATTGTCTTAACTTGTTGAGTGCGGGGCCCATCACCGAGAACTGGACGCCATTTTTACTAGGAAAAACAGCTCAAAATACTATTTCCGATCTGGATCCTCACTTCTGGGAAGAAAAGAAAAGATTTTATTTAAAATAAAAAATTCAGGCTCTGAGGAAGCACCCACTGATATTTTTACACAATGTGTTAAGTCAAAAGCCACATACTTTGAGGTCAGAGAGACCTACCCCTAGTAAATGCGCCTAGGGGTAAGGGTAAGGGAATCTAGGGCCTCAAGCTAAATCCAGGGTCTTCAAGCTAGGCTAGGTCACTTCTAGTTCAAGTCGCTCTAGTAATTCTAGAGGTCTCTGATAATCCAAAAAGAATTGTTGTCTTTGAACTCTGCAGAGATACTGGGTGGGACCTTCAGAAAAACAGGGATAACTCTGGACAGTAATTTGTATAGCTATGCAATAAAGTTTGATGCAATTATAACTATGCATATCGAAATCTAATTACACAGTTGTTATTATTTTACCTCGGCAAAACTTACATTGCAATACCTGACCTGCGTAAAGTAGGTTTTTTGTTCTGGTTTGAAACTGAACACAGCTGTCCTTTGATCATAAGACTTCAATAACTAACTGGCCCTATCTTAGGAAACAGCTGATATTGGTCAGTAACAAAGTTACACAGCCAAGTGTAGATTGTCATATGACTCACTGTCATTAATTTGAAAATTAAATGTGTTTTTGTCATACCTCAGCAATAACCGTCAAACCGGTTTTAATGCATAAAGTAGCAAGCACTTTTACTCTCAAGGGAGTAAAGATCGGTTTTAGCTCCCAGGGAGTAAAAATCAGCTATTGTCAACTCAGTTGTAAATTTTGATTGCAAACTATCGACTGTTTAATCGATTTTAGCCTTATTGTAAATAGTTCGACATATCGATAGTATACTATACTGTACACTATCGTAATAGACAAAACTACCAAATCGCTTACTAAACCGCTGATTGTTTCCATTACAAAAATAAATTGAAAACAAGTTAAAGTCATTTTGAGAGGTGTTCTTTAAATTAAAACTATTTTAGTTTTGTATCATATTTTGTTCAAATACTGGTGCAATATGACAAAAAAAAATAGTTCATCACACGTGTAAAAAGTGTCTTTTCAACTTGCTCATTTTCCGACCTCGGCTTCACATCGATCTTGAGCTCAGGTGGAAAAAAGTCACTTTTAGGCCCTAGTGATGAAATACTATTTCGTCCCCATACCTCATAATAGTGATAAAAAACAATATTTTGTTCAAAACTTGCCAATAGCTGCATACATTTCTACTTTGAATGTTCTACGTTGAAGTTTGTTATGGAATAGTATTTTTTTTTTCTGTGGTCACGAAAAACCTCTTTGTCAAAAGTTTTTGTATAGGCCTACTAAATCATATTACCCTAGCACATACTTTTCTTACTCGAGGTTATATTGATATATGTAGGCCTATATACTTTTCACACTTGATTCCGAGTATTGTGGTAATATTAGATACAGTAGCTTATCCCCTCAGATGTGTAATACTTTTGTATTAATTCTGTTTCTGCACCTACATCTCCAGCTCTACTGTTATAGACAGAGCTGAGAGTTTTATGTAAGAGCGGGTCAAAGTACCGAGGCTTTCTCTAATTTCGACACCGTGCAACATACATCGTACCTATATTGAGTACTGTACTTCCCTCCTCCACACCAGTACCTACGAAAATATATAGGTAAAACACACACGAATGTCAATTAATTGTAGATTACCGTGACTTTGGTAACCAAAATCAATGACACCCTCGTTTATAATAGCTTTGTGGTTAAGATAATGTTGTTTACAGTGAAATGAACTGTTTTGATTAGTCGTTAGTGGTTGCTCACGCCATTGGAGCGATGTTAAACATTTAATACTGGAGAAAGTATAATCAGCTGATTTGCATAATTTTAGTGTACACGGTATGCACCCAAGAATACTTGAACAGAACCGGTATGGATCATAAACATTATCAATTGACGTTGCTGGCCCGAATCCTATACTACCTAATAGCATCAACATATGTTTTGGCCGTTCCATTTAAGCAATGTTAAGTACAGTAATGTTTATTTTCGGGCTAGTAACATCATTGGCTTATGTTTATCTGTTTATGATCCGTACAATGTCTGTTTGACGTATTGTTTCGTTATTAAGTGGTTGAGTTAATTTCGGTCAAATAAACACGAAACAAATAGTAAACACTGAAATACTCTCAACATTAATGTATATATATACCTTACAAATATCTTCAGTTGGTCCAAAATTATGATGCATCCATAAAAGGGTACGATTAATCACAACAATACAAGTATGTTTAATCTATTATTAATTATTATTTAATCTATTGTAATGGCTATGAGATCCACTGACTTTCGATACGGAAGTGGAAGTAGTTTTCTCATTCGTTATATTCATAAACTTATTTATTGGTCAACCTCTTTTATAATAACCAAATAATAAACCACACGGTGCAAGTTTCGCTCTAAAACAAGATAAAAAAACATGTTGATGTCATCAGTGCGTATTCAAACCAAACCGGACTTAAATTAACATAGAAACATGCTTGCAAAACCGGAGTTGTTTAGAATGTCAGTGACTTGGGGTATACGTATACAGTTGTATTAAATTCATACAAAGAACGTTTTGACGAACGTGTAGGCCTACAGTTCACCACATACTGTTTTACCAATGATGAGCAAGCATATTGCAAATTCACTTCCACGTTCTTTTTATTGTCGATCATACAAATCTGTAAATAAAATTAAAATCGTACAAGAGAAATCTAGACTTGATATTGGCGAAGATGGATGGTCGTATAGATAAGAGGGCGTTTGACTACAGTCATAACAAGGGTCAGATTAAACAAGGGTCAAAGGTAAGGTCAAACCGCAGGCTTGCCCTACCCATAAAACACCTCTTTACAATCCCTTGTGCATGTACAGCAGAGTATTGTGACGTAACGGGTTTCTATTGGCTGTGATATACGTGACGTGTCGTGGTAAAGGATAGAGATTATTCGGTTATTCTAGTAGATTACTTGGACAAAAGGTTTCTTTTGCTGTTTGGTCTTATCAAAACATATTTTGCAGATCTGATACAGTATATTTTTTGCTAGTTCTTAACACACAACGAGAACGAGTATGGTGCCAACGGTGGAAGCCACTGAGTTCTCTAGATGCTAAGTAGAGAACTTATAATGATGTTTAGGTTAGATTTTGGATTGATGCACATGTATAGCAAAGGATTTTAAAAATACCACTGAAATTGTACACCAATGAATTTGTATGGACCTTTTGTAGATGGGTACGACCGTACGACTCATAGAGAGCTAAGCCAGTATAGTATTACGAAAAACCCATCTGCACTTGCAAGGGAAAAGATTCTAAGCCGGAAGACAGTACCTGGAAAAATATAAATTTGTTTATGTGTATGTATAATTTGATTCTATTGTATTTGGAGACAGAAGTATAAATGGACAGCTGTAACCATTTCCATACTCAAAGAGAATGTAGTCGAATAAGTCTCTCATATTGAGAACGACGTTCTATTATTCTCTCTTTCACTTTTACGTACTGAGCCTCCTTTCCACCATTTACTGAGCCGTGATAATTTATAGGACAAATATGATGCTAATACACAACAAGTTACTTTTAATTTGGATATCACTAAGCAGTTTATGTGAAATATTATAAACCTAAGGCAGCTTGTTACTGATCTCGATACTTCACAGTATAGTGAATCTTATAGGCAAGTTACTCTCACCCACTCACCTTCTCTCTAGCAAGAAACCGTCAGTGCATAATCAATGCTGTTATAGAACATAGTG